AAGAAGCCACTAAACTGGCAAACTGGAAAAGTACAGTTTGAAGTGGAATCATACTGATAGTAAGCACTGACTAATCTCCAAGGCACGAGCTGATAAACCTCTTAGACATAAGTCTGAGACACCCAGGCTAGCCCACAAGGATCTCATGAAGCATGCAGGATGTGACTTTATAAAGCCTCGCCCGAGGGCCAGTCACCTGGTTTTCAACACCATACTCAAAAAGATTGCACAGGAACAAGGAAGTCATTTAACATGAGTTTGAACTTCAAGGGGGGGGATAACATCTAGCGGGACCAGCTCACTATTCAAACAACTGGGAAGAAGGGATTTGTAGCCTGGAGGAGGCTTCATCATGTTATGGAAACCCTACCTTTATTACCATTTAAAGGCAGAATGGACTCCCCGGAGACACGCCCATTCACAAAGCCATACACATACAGCTCAACAGCAGTGCACAGACACAAGGTGTGCAGAGGATATGAGATGGAGAAAAGCTACAGATGGTCTGGTACATAAAGCAAGAACGAGCTCAGTGATACCATAGTAATTCTAAGGTGCTGCAATTTTGATATTCACACTCGCACACCCACATATTTGTCACAGCGCTCTTTTGAAAAACATTATGAAACACAGTGGAATCACTTGGTTACAATAAAGTATAAATTTAATACACAAATCAAGTGCAGTGATATCAGCTCTCCATCACCAGTTTGTTTACAATTTCTACAGCATGCCAGACACTCATGAGGATAAAATATGGAAGGGATCAAAGGATCGTAGCCTGCATCTCCGCAGATCGGCGTCTGGTCATTTTAATTCCCTCATGGATGGGTCTTTTCTTTTTGGGGGCCACCAAAGTCTTTCCCTGGGGACCTTAAGACATTGACCAACTCCAGATGTGGGTGACTGAAGCAGGGCTTGAAAGGGTGGAGGGCCCAGCAGTTCCTGTACAGCAAGCAGATCAAGGCTGCCGTGAAGGTTGTTGTGGTGCGTCTGTGTGTGTGTACATGTAGCAGGGAGGGCACAGACTCTGACTTCAGGGAGGAGGAAACATGTGTTGAAGATTTGATTTGTGAGGCAGTGAACATGACAATTACTATTTGCCTTCAAAGAAAATGACAACTGCACTTAGGACTTCAAAGCATTTATGCCCCTTTTATTACATAATTAGGCCAACAACGCTGGGTAGCTTCATCTAACGTCAACACACGCACCTCACTCCATCCCAAACCCAGTCAAACTGCTGTGTCGAGTCAAACTGCTGTGTCGAGCATTTCGAAACTCAAGAGTTTTGCGCAAAGGTTGCATGCTCTTCCTCTCTGCATATCTTCGTATGCAGTATTATTATGATCAGTGCTGTAAAATCACATGCTATAGATTTGGAGATGCTTTCACTTGCTTGTGCGTCAATTTGCCTGTGGCTCATATCATTAAATGTGACTTTTAGAAATGATGATGGGGCATATAAAAACACAAGCGTACAAATGGCACGCAGATGTTTACACTGCGTAATTGGGATCTTGGCAAATCACTGCTTGTGCTCTTGTATAATGCTATCTCTTAAAGAGGTAATGGTGGTTCTTTTCTTCGCCGGGATGGAGATGAAAGGAGATTTGAAAGAATGTACAGCGGCTGGGAGTAAATCACACGACTTACTGGTGGAATCCTCCAATGCCGGTGGTAGACGACGGCAGACAAGTGTCTGCTAGTATTCATCCAAGCCCTTTCATCACTGATGGACTTAGACCCGGAATCCCAAATAGAGGGTTCTTAAGCTCGGATCGGATGTGACTGTGAGAACCACAACTGCATGTTAAGTAAACCAACTTTGAGATTAAGATTGAACATCCAACAAATCATAAAAGGAGCATATTAAGGCAGAATTATAATTCTCCTGCTTTGGCTGACATGCAATGCAGTATCAGACAAGGGCACGGTCTGTAGTCCTGCATTTCACCAGTGGTGTGGTAAAAATGCTTTATATAAGGAGGAAAAAACAAGAGATAAAAAAAAAAAAAAACATGTCATGGAAGATTTGGGCAATTTAAACCAGTAATCTGACATTTTAATGTTTAGAGCTTGAAGTTCTGGCCATTGGGTCTCAGATTATCAAACAACTTCCCAGTTCAACTTTGAGCTACAGTTCTCAAGTCACTTGTGGTTCTTGCACCGTCCAGCCTATTTTTAGCGATGTCACTGTGCTCAGAGATCCCAGCAATTCATTTTGTGAGAATAATGCTATGTAACCTGAGAAACGCGCTGGCCGGATCTACTGAAGATGCAGCTTTCCATTAAGTTTTTTAGCTTAGAATTGGTCTTTAGCATGCCGTGTTTCCAGGCTGGATAAACACACACACACACACACACACACACACACACACATAGTGGCTTAAAGATATTAGCTTGTTCAATATTTTCTTCTATTCTTGCCCCTTTTGCACAGTGCAAATATGCAAATGCATAACCCCATCTATACAGATTCAAGGCACTGTTACTCTCTTGACTATAGAAAGTCACAGTCTTCCACTACCTTTCCACATGCCACCATTACAATGCATATTTTAAGGTTTTGTTAATCAGTCTTTCTACAAAGCTGAAACATAATACCTCCGTCCTTTGTCCTTATTTGAAGGTAAACCCATCTACTGCTGTAGAATCTGCTAACATCGGAGTCCCATGACATTTTAACGTTGATAAAACAACAATTATTTTGTTAACATTCAACAAGTACAGCTTCAGTGAGTCTTACAAACAGGCACACCATCAACATATCAAGGGAAGTTGTTGAATGCTAACAAAAGAAATACTAGCCTGAAAGTAGGGCAGATCTTCGGCTCTCTAGGCCAATACACGCACATGTGCTTTTGCACATACACACAGACACAATCACGTAAGGACACACATACTCACCCCCACTCTTATTCCCACTGCTAAACTACCCTCCTCAGTCCATTGTGCCTGATCTATCAAACCCAAAACAAAAGACACTTGTTTTGATTTGTTTTCAGAAAAGGCCAGCTTAAAACTACCATTAAATGTGGTGAACAACCCGAGGACGCCCGGGATCCGTGGGTGACACCAAGCCAAGCTGTCAAACTTTTAAAGAAAACTTCCTGCCAAAAAAAACAGCATTAATAAAACGACATAAAAAGAAGTTAGAGGAAAAAAAACAGCATGTCGCAAAAGCTGAACAAAGCTGTAAAGTTGTTGTTTCTGGGACTGCTCAGCTAACTGGCACACTGGCACATGTATAAGGTTACAAGGCCAGTCAGGAGTGGTCTCATATGATACTCATTTGGCCAGAACTTCAAAGAAGTATTTCTTTATACCCAAGTCATGAATCTGTTTGATCCCAAATCAATGGTTACTTTAGTTTGATGACTCTTTCAGCCATGCGTAAAATGTACCAAGGTTGTATAACATATAAAAACTTTATGTGTGTCCTAACTGCTGCCTGTATCTCGATTAGTCCGTGTAAAGTCTATCAGAAACAATATTTTCTGCATGTCCTGAACCTGATCAAGAGGATTAAGAGGCATTTTTATTAGATTGTTTCGAGTCTAGTACATCACTCACATGCCATAACCCGCATTGAAAGTGTTAGGGGTCATTGTAGTCATTTCTCCTCATCATGTGTGAAGCGATCTGTTCCATATGCAACTACACAATGAAAGATGGGGGACAAAATCCTCTTCGCTCTGTGCAAACATGCATTCCAAACATCAGGTGATGCTACTTAAAGGCTAATTTTAGTTAGCCAAATCGAGAAGGTATCTTTGATCTGCCAGTGCGTAGGATTATTGCTGCTGTTGTTTCCTCGCAACAAACCCACATGTGACTGCCAGGATGTATCTCTCCGCCACAGCTCACCAAGGAAATACTGTCCGTGGAAACACAGTGGGAGTATGGTATTAAAAAGAGCTTACATTTGGAGCATATCCACTTGGTTTGGGTAACTCACACTGTTGTAGCCTCATATTAGAAGCATTTTTGCAGAAAACTATATTTTGTTGCACTTTTCTTTCTTTTTTTTTTACAGCGTAGTCTTGCTAGGAAGGTGACTTGAGTGTGGAGAGGAGGAATGACTAGAGGGACCAATAACTCTTTTAACCCACATAGTGAGTACTACATTTTGTAGCTTGTGTTACACTTTTAAAGCTCTTGGTCCACTCAGGCTAGTATCAGTGATTTACACCAACAAAACACATACACGTCACATTTTAAAATCCCTTGGAGGGATATAGCGTATCGTCATAATGCACAACTCTAAACATCATTTACCTGGGAGTCATGAGAACGTTAACCTTCACTTAACATAACAAGGGCCGGTCGACATGACGGAAGGTTATAAACGTGTCAGTCACATGCAAGCCATTACAAATACTTCCACAATCACAGCAGGAATAAAAATATATAACACGACTTTCTGATTATGCTGCATCTGCTGAATAATCCCCTTACTGTGTGTTTTTACAGTGGCTGCAATGGATTACAGATACACTTTTAAAATGTGATAAAAACATTCCATGTCATCCATCACTCATGATAATGAGCCTGGCTGTCTAAGGCACAATAACAGTGGATTGCTCACAGCCCATGAATGGCAGAATTGTTCCAGCACAGCCTCTAAAGGTGAGACAATACTTATCAAAGTTAGACACACGGCATTGATGGTCCCAATATCAAGTTTTGTCAGGGGGCATTCAGAATCATTTATAGCACCCGTCTGTTAAGACTTCACCCTGATCTGCAGCACAAAGATATGTGCGTGTGTGTGTGTATGTGCATTTGCGCACTTGGGTTGGTTTATTCATAGACACCTTTACCCACTTAGTATCACATTTGTCAATGTCAGCCCCACATCCTAATCCCTCTTCATTTCAACACTTCATTAGTAACCCCTGTAACACACACACGCAAAACACACACATCCACGCTCATGCACAAACACGCATGTCTACACACACAGCAGTGACAGGAATAGCGATGCCACACAGCAGTTTCCAGCGTTATTACTGTAAGTGCAATTTTTATTTTGTGACACTTATTTGGAGTTGACAAGTGCTGATAGGAAAACTGCTGACAAACAACAACAGCTCTTTGCAGCTGGGTGTGGATTCGTGGAAACACTTGGATGGTGTCAGATTTTACATTTAGAGTTAAATTGACATGATGTGTTTACTGGGAAACGTCATGAAAATGGCAATACAGAGAACAAACAACTTCAGACTCCTTCTCGCTGAATGTCAGAGCAAAATAGCTAACACAGTGGAGAGCAACGGTGAATCAACAGGGACATTTTACAAGATATAATCAGTGAAACGTATGAGTGTGATGCAACTTTGAATTACCTGCTTGTAAAGTATTTACTCATGAAAACAAGGTTAAACGTGTTGGCACTAAAAAGGCTTCTAGATTGCGTGTAGACATCTCCAGGATTCCAAGGAGCGCCTGTAAGTCTTTCACCTCAGCTCAAGAAAACTAGAGACGGTCTGATGTCTAAAGTATACGTCCTCGCTCCATCATTGGCAGAGCATCAAATCTGGCATGAGTTTCCCCAGACTGAGGCTAGAAGAGATCCAGTAACACTGTGTAAACGTGAGCATTCAAATGTGAACACATAGTTCCTTCCACAGTTTTTCTTTTTAAGAAATCATGAAATTACATAGAATTATGTCTTAAATACATTACAACTTATTCACATGTGAAGATAATAATGAGTGTATGAAACATTTTTATTTATTGGTTCGTGTAACAATGACATTGTAGGCCACAACTTTACTGTTTGGGTGCAGTCTCACTGCTCTCATTAACCTTGCTTCCAGCCACAGCAGGCAGCAGTTGTCAGCCGAATAGCTCTGATCAAACTGACTGTATGCTAGCCGCACCAAACAGCAGACAAAGTAAGCGACTAGCTTTTTTAACAGCTAAAAAGCCAGATATCTTTCTCAAGAGTTGATGGAGATCAAAACGAAGTTAAAACAAAAATGAACATAGGACTTACTTTTGTCAAGAGGACAAAAAAACAACTCCGAATGGATCCTAATGTTGCTGCATGTCTGCTGGAATGGGCAGTTGTTTGAGGACACATACACCATGAGGTAATTGTGTCAGCTTGTTCTGCTCCCAAAAAATCAATGAATGCAGCTTTAAATGATAGAGCTGGCAATATTCTTTATATACAGTATATTCTTATGTCCACAAATCCCACAAAGCAAAAATGAGTAGATCCTACTGGCTGGTATTGTCTGTGTAACTTAAGCCTGATACAACGTCTTCCTCTGTTGATGGACTGTGTGGCATGTGTCGTAGTTACAATGAGGAAGAGCTCTGTAGTTTGAGTCAATCCGACATAAACTGTCCATAAATACTTCCTAGCACCTCAAATGCACTGCAAAAACTGAGCTCTCAAAAAAAAAGCATTAAAAAATATTACTTAAAATAGGCATTATCTGCCAACAGAACAAGAATATTTCACTTGCTACTTGCTAAACAAGTGCAATTCTCTAACATCAAAGCCGCCTGGTAAGAAGAAATATCTTGTCAGACAAAAAGCAAGTATATTTTGTCTTAAATTGAGATAATTAATCTTTTGCAGTGTGTGTAATAATCAGTATCTACAAAAAAAAAAAAGAGCTATTTACTACATTTGCTAAAACTACAGTGGCCAGCTGTTTCAAGACATTACTAACTAAAAAAAACAAGCTAGAGAAGTTTTTTTGTGGGATTTGTGGACAGACACTTTAAACAGAGTGTCAATTATAAGAGTCAAAGCCTTCAAATATAGGGATGTCTTTACATGTTGTTAGAATAAGCCTACTGATGGAAAAATCCTTCCAGATTTTGAATCTTGAAGAAAACCCCACCCCGTCGTCAGATGTTCTGGTCAGTGCTAGTGAGGCGTAGCTTCGGTGGGCATCGCTCTGAGCTTCTCCTGAAACTGGTTACAGTTGGGATCCCCTCTTACTTTAGGCGTCGCTGGAATCTGGACCCCGGTTAAGGGGTCAACGCACCAGCACTCACCCCGCTGGCCGTGGGTGGACATGTTGCACTGGAAAGAGGGAAGAAAAACACAAACTAGACAAGATGGAAAACACTGGAAAAAGGAGGGAGGGGTAAAGAAGCACAGCGGGAAGTAGGGGGCGCGTTAATGAAGCACAGTGGCGTGAGATGTGTGTGTGGGTGTGTGGATCTTCTGGTGGTGGTGGTGGTGGGGTTGGGGGTGGGAGGGTGAGTGAGAGCTATGGTTTGGGTGGGACAACACTCACCCAATAACAGCCCATCCTCAGGTCATACCCCCTGCTCACAACTCACAACCCATCCACAGCCACACACACACACACACACATACACACATGCACAGGCATGCCAGTAGACCAGCCCCCCCGCAGAGCCCCCCTCTACTCAGAAATGAGGTCGTAATTGAAGTGGACACAGTTTACACCGCGCACGCGGGGCAGCCACGGAGGGGACGGTGAAAATAATGAAGTGCTGGAGGGGGGGGTGAAGACTTTCCATTTTCTTCCTTGGATGAGAAAGAACAAAAAAAGTGACAGTTACAGTAATTACCCCGCGACAAGGAGGGACAACTCCAAAAGGGAGCCGAGTGTTGAGGAGGTACAGTGTTCCTCCCTGGGAACCAAGGACTCCAGTCCGAAACAATGCTGTTGTTTGTGACCAGTGATGAAAATTGGCCGAGGGGTTGAGAGCCCTGCTTTAGGAAACTGTGGCGCCTATTCAAATCTTCTTTTCTGCTCTACTATCCTCGTAAGAAAACACTGGATATGTGACCTTGTTTGTCCTCCTCTGTCTGATTTCTATGGATGAGAAGAATTCAAATTCAAGCCCCCAGTCGGAAGCACAGTTCGTTCCTCGGCTTAACAAAAGTCTTCCCATGAAGTACGCCAAACAGTTTTATTGCCTTGTAACCTTGAGCTCAGAAGCTGTTGCCTCATTCATGATGACAACATCTCCCCACACATTTGTGTGTGTGTGCGTGTGTGTGTTTGTCTAAGAGCAGCGTATTTAGGAACTGTGTGTGTGAGTTTATAAAAAAAGGGGGGGTGCGGGTAGTTTGGTTAGTGTGGAGAGGGGTGGCAGGTGTTAGTGAGGGGGAGGTTATATTTTTTTGCCAGGGTGAATTTGCCAGGCTGATACAAGAGAGTTTTGTGTTCGCGTGTGTGTGTGCGCGTGTGTGTGGGTCAGTGTATGAAAGAGAAGAGAGGGGAAATCCAAAGGACAACTAAACAAAATGATACAGGACGTATGAGTGTGTGTGTGTGTGTGTGTGTGTGTGTGTGAAAGTGGTGATCAAATTGGACCAAACTAAAATGCACTACACATGTAGGCACAATTACCTGCATTGATATTGGTCAACTAAACCTTTTTCCATCATCAAAGGCAGCGGTCACAATAATCCTATTTACAACAGCTACCAACATAATTTGAAACACGATGACATCTGCGACCACTCGAGTCTCTCTTGTGTTAGTGTTCACCGTGAAACAGCAAGTCACCAGTGAATCCCGCAGAGCAGAACACGAGACAACGCAGCACCAACTGACCCTTCGCTAAGCCTCGCCCCGAATACGCAGCCGGCCAATCACAGCGCGGTATAGGTCTCGGAATCCACTGACTCCGGCTACGGCCCGTTACGCCAGCGCCACGGTTTCGATGCATCCATAGCGCGCCGTAGCCGGAGTCAGTGAGACTTCGTGAGATTTTAACTAGGTCTGAGACTTGGCTGCGCTCCACTGACTCTAATGCAAAAGGAGTCGTCGTATTTTTCCAACATATTACTAAGATACTACACAGTATGTCTACTAGCTATCCATACAACTCTCCAGCGACCTCTGTCCTCTTCCTATTAAAATACTGTATCATCCCTGTGTGAACATTTTGACTACTTTTAATAGTTTATTGAGTCGTAGCAGCGACACACACACATCTCAGAACGCAAGTTTCTAAGGTCAAAGATGGTCAAAGACAGGGGCAAAAAAAAGGTGGCCAGGGGATTTATCAGGAAACACCTGTCTAACTCTCCTAAAGAAAAGTAACCACCACAGCTGAGCCCTTGAGTTTAATAAATAAATAAGCCATATCATTATCAATCTTACCGTCACCACCGCAGCGTTTTTTCCGACTGCTTTGGTTGCTATGATACATTTGTTGCAAGTAGTTCTAGCTGACTTTACTGGATGGAAAAATGTCAACACAGAGCAGAGTACTTGCTCTGTATGAAGAGAAGGCTGAAGCAGGTAGCGAGAGAGGACGGATATGTGGGTTCATGAGATTTTGTGGGCGAGGAAACATCTCGGCGAGTACCACCGTTTGGTCCAAGAGCTGAGGTTTGATGAAGCCCGGTTCCAGGATAGTAACCGTTGCTACGGTGTGGTTTTGTCCCGCCCCTCCTCTACTGTGATTGGACAGCTGAGTAAAAAGTGAGTGACGAGCACAGCGTTTTTCCCAAACGCTCAGCTCAGCTCCCATTGCAATGAATTCAAAAAAGACGCTGGTGTTAGGAAAAAATGCTTTGGTGGACACGGGCCCTTAGCAAAGGGTCAATTGCTCTTTATGGGCTCAGTCTTTCAAAAACGCCACAACCTGGTCTAAACCTTAATGCGTGATGTCACAGCAGGAGTTTTGCCTTTGACAGCGGATGGAACACCTGCTGCTGATTGGGGTGTGGCCATCACTGTGACATTCCTGAAAGTTTCCACCCACTGAGAGCGGCCACTTTGCATTTCAGTTTATATTTAATGTTAAAATACGATAAATTAGTTCCCTGAAGAGCTCATGTGAAATAACTACCATCTGAGCTGAATAATGGAATTTGAATGAATGATAAGCCGAGATATTATTTCCAGTCTCAGGTGCCAAATTCAGACAAACAACTCTCTCTCTCACCCTATTACCGAGACACTGTTTATAGAGTTTTACATGTGCGTCATTTTATAGACATTTTCCTAACATACTGCATTTGGTACCTCTGGAAACTTTGGGACGTTGACCAGCATTTAAAATAAATATCTGTGGGTTTGAATGATGCTTGTGTCAACAACGCGCATTTGTCTTCTGGGCGGAGGAAGTGCACATGGCATTTTGTTTCTACCAGTCTTGAGATTTTTGATTATGTTAGTTTTAACACAATTATCCAGAAATCAAAATAAACTCCTTCACTGATTCATTGGCTGTGAGATGCAGTTTAAAGCACTAGAAAGAGATAATAAATGGACATTGAGTGAAATTGTTTGGTCAAACTGTTTCCAATGTCAATTTTAAGATTTAAAACTAGTTTTGAAAAATCCCAGACATATTTGTTTGATTACAACATCAAAACTAATTTAATGTGATGTACAACTTGGCACTTTTTACACAAAACAATATGGATTATTACTCATCATCAAGCGTTTGTGTGAACATCCAGTCCGATATGAACAGGCCACATTTTGACCCAAATGGACAAAAGTGTGCTACTGGGCACCTATTAGCCCGTTTCCTTGAGAGAGACAGAGTCTTAAGTCCCAATATTGGTTTTGATATTAAGTCATATTCGTAATTTTCCTACATGTCATCATATTTGAGATGTTTTTTTTGACAAATCATCCTGTACTGTAACTGCATTGAAGTTACATTTCCTCCATTTTGGGGGGATTTTTCAGTGTTCTTACTCAATAACAGTGCGTTAGTTCAGCTAAAGTTGTGTGATGGGAGACCAGTGCTCTGTCCATGGCTCACCTGTTTGGGGTTATACAGTCCATGTTTGTCACAGTTTGGAAATTTGAGCCCATACAGGTTCTCCAGCGGGCCTCTGTTATCCTCAGAGGTCATTTTGGAGATCTCCTCTAAGACCTTGTTCAGCTCTTGCTGACAGGCGCTCTGTAAGAACGAGGAAGGACAAAATTATAAATACCAAAACTAATAATGACAATAACTATTTAGCACTTACTAAAGCAGATGTACATATACATTTACAGAAAAGTAAATTAGATAGAATGACTAGGAGACAAGAAATACAGCAAGGATAAGTTTCACTTCAGTTTGAGTCCAAGAAATGTCCAAGAAAAGGAGAAATAAAACACTTCTCTGTGTAAAAATGTCACAAATACACACATTTATAGGTAACATTTTTATGAGGTGCAGTTAGGCAAGCAGAAAGTTCAGCCAATATTATTGATGTGAGTCTGGTGGAGTGGAACACTAGTGGCTAGACTGCTTAACTCAGCAGGTGGCCACGGCCACACACACACACGCAAACCTGTGCAGACGCATGTTCATACACCTACAGAAATACCGTGCACACACACACACACACACGTATCATGTATCCACGTGTACATGCAAACACAGACACACACACAAAGTGTATCAGGCTGCCAGTGGGATCAAAGTGGTCCAGTCTTATGATTAGTTGGCTCAGGATGAGAGAGAAGGGCAGGGGTAGGCGCAGTCTGCCACAAACCTTATCAAACATCTGAACATATGGAAGAAAAGTTCTTTCTTTTGTTTTTTCTCATTCACACTTTGTTTTTAGTCTTTGACTCCAAGGAGCTTGTCCCACTCTGTCTCATAATGAGGACACACATTAACCAGCACCTCAGTACATGCACCCTCCAGTTTCACAGCTGTCGAACTGCTCTCATATTAACAGATAGGTTGCACATACGCTCGTTTGTTTCTAACTCTACATCCACATTTTTTGTTTCATTTTCACACTTGTAGCTTTTAGCCCCAACTCAATCACTTGAGTTAACTGATCACGTTTAGTATAATTCTCTCTGGAGCCACAGAAGGCTTCGTTAACTGTTTTTCACATATGCAGTAGTACTCTCTGTAAGTAATCTGTAAGCACACTTAGAAAAGTGGTGAAATTCCCCTTTAAGGTTATCTGTCTTTATGACAATTAATCACATAAAAAAATCTTAATTTCCTATTTTACCATCAAATCATTTTGTATACTTGTTGCTTTCCATGAGCAAAAATGGAAATAAAATGTCTTAGTTTAGCTTGATTACCATATATATATAACAGTCAGACAGTGACCAAAAGAGACTTTTAAGTATCTAAAACAAATGTGTATATATACAAGGTATAAAGGTAACAAAACTAACACGACCCCAGACAGTGAAGCATGCGTTACAGTAACTGACCTCACATGACCACCCACAACGGAGTCCATCCATGCTTGACACCAGCTGTCTGAAATCCTCCCCCTGCCCAGCTGCACGACTTGTTTTAGTGCATTCTGTCTTTTGTTGCTTCTAATGATCTAGACAATTGTTTTGTCCAGCCCGCTTATGATTTTTTGTTTTATTTTGTTTTGTTTTGCTGCAAGCAAGTGAGGTAAGCGAGGGAGAAAACGAACAAATGCTCGTAATTGTTTTGCCATGTTGAGACATATATGGACCTCCACATGCGCGGCCCTGAGGACCCAAGCTCATTTGCATGAAACAGAAAGAATTTGTTTGTATGCCACCCCAAGGGTTTTCCAGGAATTGTTTTTAATTTCGTTGAGACTGTGAAATGTTGAGTGAGTGGTAAAGAATAGGGGGCGGGGAGGTTTAATCTATAGACAGCATTAAACTGCCAACACGCATTCCACTGTGGCGAGCAAAACAATATCTATTTTCATCACAAAGATGCTCATTATGAGCAATTACTGAAGCTAAGATGGCTCCGTCTGGATGCAGCTAACGTTGCTTACAGAACGCTGTACATAAATGTGAATGCATGCATAAAAGCACAAAGGTACTTTAGTGCTAAAAATATTCTAAAGTTTGAAAAAATTCTCAGTTTGAAAAAATTCTCAGTCAGTCACAAATAAAGACTTGTATGTACAGTATATCAGTATCTGTAAGCTAACTACCACAGCATTTTGGAAGTAGCATTTTTAAATATAACATCACATTATCTTTGTTGCATAATGTTTTCAGCTTTGTTGCATGTTGTTTTCTTATTTTATATCAATATATCATTAGTGCAATATCGTTTTGTGAATCTGACCTTGAGACAGCATAGCTCGTGGTTCCAAGTGATTTGCTATCATGAATTCATGGTGCTTTCAGCTTCAGTTTCAAGGGGTTGAAACATTATGTAATTAGCACTAAAGTACAACGTAAAGTAAAAGTACAGCTAAGGCTGAAGGGAATGTCATTAGTTCTGCCGGTATGTGGTCATAAACAAAGTACGGGACATATGGAAAGTTTGACCTGGTGATCCCGTCAGGTGAAAGGTCAGGGGATCACCAAAGTGATTACAATTCATTCCAAGGGAAACATGAATGCAGCACATGTCATGACAATCCATTCAACTGTTTTCTTTTGAATCAAAAGGGTCAACCTGCCAATTGCCAACCAGAGTTACTAAGACACAGTGTCTTGGAGCCATGAATGTTTGTAAAAAATAATAATAATTGCAGATTCATGCAGTAGATGTGGAGTAATTTCCCTAGATAAAAGGAACCTGCTGTTGGTAATTTATGCAAAGTCAAGGGATCACCAAAGTTGTTTGTCCTCTGCGGCACTTGAATATCTGTACCAGTGTCATGGCCATCCATCCAATAGTTGTCAGGACATTTCACTAAATAAGAAATATGTCAACTTGATGGTGGTGCTGGAGGAAAAGATAGATAGTGCTTATTCTCTGAGGACCATGAATGTCTCTGCCAAGTTCTGAGTGAAAGAGAGCCCAGAGGAGGGCACTACTGTAGCAGACACTGTTGCTCACACACACTGTTGACCTTGTGTCACTGCTTGCTTTTGATAGGCAGACATTTCACTGCATTCTGCCACGCACGACTATTAACTATGACTACATGCAAAATGTAAGCTGGGATGCTGCTGTGGGAAAATAAACAATTTAAAAGTTCATGCAAAATCAAGACACACTAATAAACACATCGTGTTTTGTTGGGACTGTTCATTTTCTACAGCAAACATACATAGACTAACAGTTTTGAATGTAAAATCTATAACTAGCAGAGTCAACTACTTCAGACTTTCAGTTCATAAATGGACTGGTGTCAGTTATGGGTCCATAAAAACAAATCTTGGTGAGATACATATATTTATTTTTAGAATAAGGGCAGAAAACTAGTGCTTCATTTCAGATGCAGTGTATCAATCTTCATGTGTGAGAAGCGTGAAATGCTTTAAACAGCCCACGTGATAGTAGAAAAGGAGGTACTTTTATTCAAAGAACTGGTATTATGTCCATTTTACAACTTTGCTTGGAGTTATAGTAAGTGATACATTTAGAAGAAGTTCAGAAGGTTGAGTTCTTACCTGAGGCCTAATCTGGGCTTGAGGGTCTTCTAGCTGATTTGTCTTCATCTTGGTTTTGCGCTCATTCTGGTGTTGTTTCATGGCGGACTCCTGCCAAAACCAAGCATCAAGGGCAGGTCTTTTGGCGAGGGGACTCTCAGTCCCGCGCACTTCTACAACCAGACAAGCATACAAACCTTCTTAGACAGACAATTAATCTGCAGCATCTGTACATTAAATCTGCCAAGGTCTTCCCGAAAACAGACTTTGTTTATGTCCAAAGAAAGCTATCCATCCATCGTCAACCGCTTATCCTGCGTACAGGGTCATGGGGGCTGGAGCCAATCCCAGCTGACATCGGCGAAAGGCGGGGTACACCCTGGACAGGTCGCCAGTCCAAAAAAAGCTATTCAAAGCTAAATCGACCTTTTGGTATACTTTCTATTTTTTATCCAATTGTAACATTTAATACTTTGGAGGTTCACAGAAATGATTCTAGAGAGTCACCTCTTTCTTTAGTAATCTGAGCCCTGTCTCTTGGGGAAGTAGTTAATGGACAGATGTTAAACACACAGAAAACTACCTCATCTTTAGACATTGCTGCTTTCTTTCAGTATCCATTCTTTAATCTCAAGCTGCTTTTAAAAGCCAACATTTTTTCTAATAACAGGCCCTTTTACAAGTCATCTTAATCCTGGAATTAGAAGACAAAGTCATTCTGTGTCCTCCAGGCATCCTGTGTCCCTCTTACCTCATGCCACTAATTCTATACTGGACAGTCAGGCGTTGCAATTGCTGTAATTACAATGGCGACAGTGTGAACAATCCCCATAAGATCTTTTCTGTGAAACAACTACAGTGCTACATCCAACCACTTAGGTTTCTAACACTAGACTAATCATCCAGTTTGCACAGGTCCCCTCTGAGCAGTGGGGTCACGCTGAGTGTTTCCTGCTGCTTGTCATACCAAAGCGTGTTCATCATTTGTTGGACACAAGAGAGACAAAACACAAACAACAAGCGAACAAGTTAATTCAGAACAGAAACAGACGAAGCATGACGGCAAATGAACACACAATGTCAGTCCCAAAATCAAGACCACTGACTGTGAGTGTAAAACAAATATATGGAGGGGTTAACATATTTATCAATGTATCCATCGACATTACAGACATAATGATCCAAGATTGTCTGACACATTCAACAGTAAAACAGACAAGAGCAGTGACTAAAATAAAGAGCCGAGCTCGACTGCTAGTCAGAGGTGGTGAGTCCAGACTCGTGAGGAAGCACTTCTGATGAATGCTTTTCATGCTGAGTAAGGATATTTTTAGGGATATCTAACCTACCTGCCAGAGGCTGTGTGTGTGTTAGAGAGTTTGTGTGTGTGTGTGTGTGTGTGTGTCTGTAATTAGCGTTGTAAAAACAGGAGCTGAACTCTGAGGTTGTAAATCATGGCTGTGAGGGAAAGGCCCCCCAGTGAATCTTCAGAGCTCATGCAATGACACTGTCTGAAGTGTTTCTGTGTGTGTTCACATGTGTCTGTGCACATGAATTTTGGTGCACACACTTCCAGGTGTCACACCCGGGGCACACTGCCTACCTTTACCAGTGCTTGACGGCTATGTCGCTGTACTGCTGCGGCTCACATGCCTGTAGTGTCCACACAGACAGCATTGCTGTCAGCCCTATCTTTCTACTTGAGTTTGCCTTTGATAAATAATAATAATAATAATAATAATCTTTATTTGTAGAGCACTTTTCAAAAACAAGTTACAAAGTAATTTAACAAGTGTAAATACAATAAACAATACAAGTCTTGTTAACAAATGAAGAGATTCACTCCACAGAAACGGTAAAGTGCTTTTAATCAGAAACTGTTACAGGAGTCATTGACTTAATAACATTTTAAGTATATATATTTTTTGTCTGTGACATATTCTACAGATTCTATATTCTACACGTGCAACAGGCATTTGTCTTACATGCTACATTCAGCATTTAAACATTCATATAAACATTTTTCAAGCATTTTTTTTTCAATTTTACTAATAAGTTGAGAAAATGATTTGTCTGCAATGCAAGTAACAAATGTAGTGGAACAACAGTGTGGATTTGTGCATTTTATATTGAATAAATTTGGAGCTACTCCAAATCCCTCTCTCCTCTCCCAGAGAAGAGCAGGGGTTGTTAAAGATCAACTTCAACAGACTGCTGGGGAGACCCCAAGGGAAGCGGGGGTGAAAGTTGCTTTCTCTAAGCGCTATCCCTGACCATAAAACTGGCACCTTTTTGATTCCGAAGCTGATAACGCGGGGCCTGACTGTTAAACTGACAAAGGGACACGAACCAGCGATTAGCATTTCCCTGAACAGCCTATCAAAACTTCCCTCCCCACACATGTAACCGTAGCAACTGACCTTGCTCTGTGTTTCATTACCCCATCAAAGGGATACCCCCTGTCTCACCCAAGTAGTGACATAACCCAGGACGCCTAACTTTAAATAACCAAAGACTGGAGTCTCCAAAGACTCAAAGCATTTAATTAAGTTTAATTAAATCTTTAGTTACCTGATTACGTTTGCCTTTATGTGAGTAGTTATGTTAACATGTTGTTGCTATCTGTTGTTGATATTAGTGCTGAAAAGAATCTAAATAAGTTACTTTTGCAGTGTTTTTATTTTCAGCAAGACACTTACTCATCTAATGGAATCAATGCTTGTTCATAATACTTTCCTACAAAATTCCTTTAGAAATGATGATAAAGAAATGTTTTACTATACTCTTAATCGCCAGCTTGAATTTAAGGATGAATAACTAAATTCCCCAGTTCCTAAGGAGAGATGATCTTGGATTAATCTAAGCTTTCCTCATGTAACCTGAGCTCCCCCAAGTGGACGAAATAAGTATTACATACCATCGTGGGAAATGCCGTTAAATGTATAAATATCCTGACCAATAATGTGACAATTGTTTCCTGTTACCAAATGCTTAACTTAGAATGGTTCAACCATTTGACCATTGAGGTGCGATTGTGGAAAATATTTGATTATAATACGTGGAAATAGATTTTCTTTTCTTTTAGACATTAAGTTTAGAAAGGCAGTCCCTCGGGAAACCGGAAACGCCCCCTGGGGAACCACGCCCCAGGCAACAAAAGAGCGACACGCGGCGTCGTTCGTTCTCTTTTCTGCTCTCGCTCTCTCTCCCTCTCGGCTCTCTGCCCTCTGGACGCTTCGGCACGCGTGCCTCGCCAGGCAACGCCCTAAGAGTTTGGCCAGCCCTTTGTTTGCTTGAAGCTACACATGCGAAGTGCCGCGACATCGATCTGTCCCTCAGTTTGTTTTATTTTCTTTATTTCTTTTGTTTTGTTATAGTTATCAGTCCGTTAAGTTACACTGGACTCATTCAGGAACGACCAAGTTCCATTTTAAGCTTTTTCGTCGAGCCAACTTCACCGAGGTCAGACCAAGCCACGTGGTCTCGTCAGCGGCAACGAAGGAAACCTGAAAACAGCCGAATTGCCAGACGGAGGACGGCCAACCCTTGAGGTTTTTCTTCAGTCAGACATGGAGAACCCCGGAGAATCCCTAGCAAAAAGCCAGGATCGGGCAGCTAGCGTGGGACCCGTGCAACAGGCCAAAGCAGGCCGTCGACAAGCCGTAAGACCTAACACACATTCTGGGGTCAGAGATGTTCCGAAATGTTAATATTTTTCATTAGTTCTCCTATGCCGTATGAGTCAAATGCTTCCCAAAATCGAACCTCCAGGCTCATTGTGCTGCCATTGTTTATTTACCCTTTTATATCACATTAGTTGGAGAATAAATTCACTGTAATATAATCAAGAACTGTGTGTGTTGCCTATTTCTATGTCCCTGCCAAGAGAATTGACCCTTTAGATATGAGACTGACTGATTGATTTAAGATAATTGAGCGATTATTAACTAACTGATGACTAGTAATAATTGTATAATTTTGCTGTAGTATTTTGCTATGCAAGCAGTTGCGAGAAGTACAGTTGAGGGTGATGGGAACATCATTAGTTTTATAGGTACTGTCATAAACAAAGTAGTGAACAAATGTTCTTGCAGGAACTTTAAAGATGAGCTGACTATAATTCAAAGTAATTTCCTTAGATAAATGGAAACTTTGCTGGTGGCACTATATGTTAAGTCAAGGGATCACCAAAGTTTTTCATCCTCTTAAGGAAACTTCAATATATGTACCAATGTCCATCCAACTGTCAGGAAAGAAGTCAACATGATGCTGGAGGAGAAGCCAGGGAATCCACAAAGTCAATAGTGCTTAATTCTCTGGGGACCATGGAAATGTCTGCGCCAAATCTAATGGAAATCCATTCAATATTTGACGAGAAATCTCACTCTGAACAAAAGTGGTGGATCGAGCCGTCATTTACCGTAGATTATAACATCCTTATTCCTTTGTATGATTCTGTGTGACTGTAGCCATTTAGGGAAACTTTTCCAATCTGAAATTCCACAGGCAAACAGTTAAAACTATGAGGCCACAAATAAGACATTAAAATGTGAAGACTTCAAATTATATTCACTACAGTGTGTGAGCAATGGCTAAAAGTCACAGGCTCCAACCTCCAGCTGAGCACACAAGCCTAGAATTTTTGTTCCAAGTTGTGTTAAGATATTCACAAACAGTGGAGGAATCTCTTGCATGTAGTGAGAGCTTCTGCAGAACACATTAAACATATTCAAGAGAGAGCTTGGCATTTATAATTAAAATATGCTACTGCTCTGAAAAAACTAACAACGTGGCGAAAAGTGATATAGTTTTCTTTACCCCTGGCAAAACTCACTGGACAGGAATGTTAAAATGCTAACCGAAGAGCAAATATTGACAGGTTATAAAAGTGTAAAAGCCCCAACGTATGTCTATAGCTGTGTTTAAGACCTTATTTTCTATAGACACATAGGAACTCATGACAACATGTTCCAGGGAGAATAAAAACAACAACACTTCTTTAGCCAACAACTGTCATCTAAATACTGTGTTGTTGAATTTGTCTTTAGTGCCATAGAAACTACCTGTCTCAAGCTGTTGGGAGTGTTGCCTTTGAGCAATGCTTTCATAGTTCACTCATAGCACAGAATGAGTAATGTCTTTCCATAGTTGCTTAGCATTAATGTATTTGCCA